TGAAGCTCGTTAGTTCAATAAATTACTTACAAAAGAAAAGTAAGAAGTACAGATAAAAAAGTTAACTTTTGAATAGTAAATAGTATTTATTGCCTAAATCGATACTTAACTTTATCATGAGTGTATCTTTTGCATGTACCCTCCCATATCATATAAAGAAAAATGAATCTAAAAGTATTCGTAAGAACGTCACATAGAAGGACAAAAGGAAGGACTACTGAAGATTACTATATCTTTAATGAAAACATATAGGCTTAAATCTACAATAAAATAAATCACATTTCTTTAAATAAAAATTAAACAAAACAATTATAATTTCTTAAATTAGAAAGAATACAAAAAATTATGAATATATGGATATTCTCTTACAGTATTTCATAACATAATTATTTTTTTAGCACAATAGGTTAATTAACATTGCTTTTGCGGGCATAACCTGGAGATATTTAAAAGTTACCTCGTAAATCTGTGCAATTTTTAACAAGAATTTCAAGTTTTTTTTTTTTTTCTGTCAACAGCTTCAAGTTGAATTGGATATCTGAATGTTTAAAATAGGCCTAATTGCTGAAAAACATTGTTGTCATTGTAATATGGTCTTGTGCACATAAATTGGCCCATATCTGAGCTGAAACAAGTTTAATTCAAAAGCTGGGATTTGTTGACCCAAAAAAGAAAAATCTGGGATTTGTAGCTTCAACTCTTATAAATACCACAAATTACTATGTCGTTTTGGTGATTGTTTTGCCATGGAAGCTAAATGGGAGAATCTAGAGAGGTTTTGAGAGTAATTCTAGTGTAACTTTCTTATTTTAAACCTATATTATATATAATTGATCTGACATCAGCATAATATACAAACACACACACAGGGGAAGAGAATTTTTGCTTCTGATATTTCATTGAAGGCTACTCAAATTGAGACAACATGATACTGCATGCATGAGTTAGGTAGAAGGCCATTTATAGGCAATTGTTTCTAATATAATATATCAAGTTATATTAAAATTTTAAGGCCCTAATTTTAATGAACACCAACATATATTTGAACACGATGAACTATTTGTTGAAAAAAAAAATCACACAAATAATATAAAACCAAAATTCAAGATAATATAGATATCGGTAGAAGTCCTTTCTATTCAGAATAAATACCTATAATTTACTAGATTTATTCTGACAAGAAATCGACAAAAAATGAGATGTTATAAGGTTAATGAATCATGTCTTACATGCTTATTTTAATGATGTTTTTGTATATAGCAGAACTCTAAATAACCATGTGCATCATCTAAGACAAATTCTGGAAATTCTAAAATAAAAATTACTTTGACTGGTCTGAATGTAAAGTTTCTGCACTTTAATTAATAATATTTTCTTTAACAAATCGCTACTATAAAGACATTGTAAAAGGTTTGGTCTAGCACTAAGATTTTTACCTTTAAATCAACTTCTTAACAATGTTGTAAGTTATCACACGCAAGTGAAAAAAAAAAATAGCTTCTATTATTGCGCTCTTTCAATAGTTTTTTTAAAAATGGATTAAAATAGGTTAAGATTAACGGTTAAATTTTTAGTAAGACTTGTTATAACGTATATAATTGATAATTCATTTATATAAATTTAATATTTTGTTTTTTTTTAATTTCAGTTTTAAATTTTTTAATTTTAATTTTTATTTAGTCTTCTCACTATACTTTAAAAATTTATCTTAAAAAGACAAAAGAAATTTATATTTATTAATAAATTATTTGAAAACTACCTTCTTTCAATAATATAATTTAAAAATAATCAAACGTCACTTGACTACTTGGTGCTGGAATAATGATGCTTGACTTTGATTGATCACCGTGGCTTTTTCTGCAAGTTGTACGCAGAATCCATGAGAAGTGAATAGTGGCTATGACTGAAATTATGTCTTATGGCAGGCGTGTAAAGTTTATAATTTATAAAAGAAAATTTGATCAGTAGGTGATTGGTTGGCATCACATCATTTTGGATCATTCAATATTTGCTCTTACGATCACACATTTATATTTATTTTGTAATATAACATTTCAAATATTTATGATATATCTAACAAAATAACTGATAAAAAATTAATTGAAAATAAAAATTAATTAAAAATTAAAATTAACATAAAGGACCTAATTATAAAAAGAAATCAAGATAAAAGTATGTGTTAACTCAATATTTAAGTTTGCATAAATTTTTCTTTTGATATCAAAATTTTTATTTTTAATTTATTTAATCATGGATTAATATTAATTTGCACTAAAAAAATATTATTTTGTAGTAGTTTTAATAACCTGGTCCAAGATACCAGTGAGTGACTTTTTAATCACTGTTAAATAAAATGTGTTACTATGATGATTTTTTTTTAATTTACTAGCAGTTCTAAAATTTTAGAAGCCTATTCAAGAGAGTGTCTGTGAATTAGATTTAGATGAGTTTTGATATTAAAAATAATTTGATTAAATTAAAATTTTATTAATTAAATTAGGTTACTAAAATTTTGTATATGATTATGTTCTAATTTTAATGTCTCAAATAACATTTATTAAAATTAAATAAAAATTTATTTATTCTAACACATAATATAGTATTAATAATTTAATATTCATCTAAAATAAAGGGTGAGACAATACAAAATAAAAAAAAAACTTTAAAAATCTCTTATAAATTATAAAGTATAAAATTTAATATTTATTTCACAACTTAAAGTAATATACATTTTAAAATTTGAAAGATCAAATTACTTATTAATTTTTATTTTTTCATTTTAAATAAACTGAGAAATCAAAATGGTCAAAGTTAACATTAAAAAAATCTATGTCGAATGGGTTACTAGATTTATTATGTTAGGTTGAATTTTCACGTTACAAACTTGTGACCCAATCCATACTTTATTTGGTTTTAAGATTTTTACCTGAACTAATTGTTTACATAAACTAACCTATTAATTTTTTATTAAGTTAAGTTGAGTTGATCAAATTCATTGGTTCAACAAAACCCATGAACACTCCTAAGCCTATCTTGTCATTTGTCTCATCGATTTAATCTTAATTTTTATTTGTAAGACCATTTTTATTACATTTTATTAGGATTTTTTTAATCTCATAACTATCATCATAATTCTTGCTCTCAGAAACTAGATAAGCTTATATCTATCTTTCTTTATGTTTTTCTCTTTGCCATTTTGATTTTTATTGAAAATCAAATTGTGAATTATAAAATTTTATTAGGTTTAGAATTTAAATCTCTTTTCAATTTGAATCTAACTTGATTTCACGTGTTCTACAATAAATTAATGCAAAAAACATGTAATTTTTCATCTTCTATTTCAATGTGAATTGCGAAATTAAGAAAGTAGAGAAAATTCAAGAGGACTTAAAAGTGTAAATTGAAGAAAAAAGGATATTAAAAGATCAAAAGTAGTATAGTGATTCAAACTCCAAAATAAAAATAAGTTAAAGAGTATTAATCAATGAGAATGAGTAACTAATTCTTTAAAGTTTGGAATATTTTACAATTTTGGTTCTAAAAATGTTTGAAAACTTAGGTCTAAGAATTAAAATCCATTAATCTAATAATTATTCATAATGCATAAGCTATGATTTATACTTTCTATTAATAAAATCTTATATATTTACAAGTTTCATATTTTTAAAGACAAAGATGAATATTCACTTTATAGGAGGCTATCAAAATCATGTTTGCTTGTTTTGCAATGGCTTTTATTCAAGACTAAGAATCAGAGAAAGAACAAATTCAATCAAAAGAAACAAGTGGGATAAGTTGAAGCTATCTAAATTTTTGTTGAAATTGTATGTCAAGAAATGTAGTATTGAGAAACAATCTAGATTTTGTTATTTAATCAAATGGAAAACAAATTCAATGTAGAATGCAAAGTCTTTTTGTTTTACTTCAAGTTTTGTTTTAGAGTTTGGAGAGGAAGGAAAGAGAAAGGAAGGGAAGGATTTAAAAGGAGAAGGAGGAGAGAAGAAGGGAAGAGAGGAAGAAAAAGGTTAAATTCCTCCCTTATTTAGATGTTTAATATTGAAAGAGAAGGATAAATAATATTATTATATTATATATCTTTTATTTATATTTTTTATTTTTATAAAAAATAAAAAATAAATATTTTTCTATTTCTAAAAATTAATAATTTCAAAAATAAAATTAATATTTTTATTTTTTTATAAATTTTTTTAAAAAATTCTTATTTGAAAAGTTAACATTTTAAAAAAAAGTAATTTCTAAACTCTTCAAACCCTTTCCTTCCCAATTAAGTAATTTCCAAACAAGGATTAAGTCTTCTTAACCTCTCCCTTCTCCTCTTAAATATAACTCTCAAACAGCCTTAAACTCAAATCAATGTCATTTATATTATGATTTTCTAAAATTGATGTTGTTTTGGACTTTGTTGTTGGAGGATGGGTCTGGGCCTTTGAACTTCCAATGCTTTCACTCTAAAAAAAATTGTATAGTTCTTCATCAACATGCTTATGACAGTAAATTGGTTCAGTTTATAACTTTTTATATTTAAGACTATTTAATGCACTTGTTCACATTTATATATTACTATTTCTTTACATACATTTTTTTTTATCATCACTCTTCACATTTTAATTTGAATGTGGGAGTTTCTTTTTATCAAATTGATTTTCCTGTAGATTTGTTATCGCTTCTTGTGCAACTTATTTGGCCAGATATAAATGATAAAAACAGAACAAGTTAATCTCTAACATGATATACATGCTTAAGTACACCAAATAATTATTATTATACATCTTATTTTTAAACATAAGGAATAAAAGAAAAAAACTTAAAAGAAAAAAAATAAAAAAATATAATAATATGATAAAAATAAATAAATATAAAAAGTAAAAATCATTTAAGTACATGAATGTCAATGTCATTTATACATCCCCGAATAGGATATTCCCTAACACCAGGGAAAAGCATGGGTTATTTACGATAGATAACATTATATAAGATACAACGAGGGAAGCTAAACCACACACCACAACCATTCTACATTTAGTGCTCAACATTTGAACACTCAAACTAGAATATCCCCTATTCAAGAAAAACAAGAATGGATTCACTTCATAGTCCAAAACCTCACGCAGTGTGTGTTCCATTCCCAGCACAAGGCCATATAAACCCCTTCATGCAATTAGCCAAACTCCTTCGTTGCATGGGTTTTCACATAACATTTGTGAACAATGATTTCAACCACAGTCGTTTTGCGAAGTCTCTTGGACCAGATTTTGTGAAGGGTCTCCAAGATTTTCGATTTGAGAGCATCCCAGATGGTTTGCCACCTTCAGATTTGGATGCAACCCAAGATGTTCCACCGCTGTGTGATGCAACAAGGAAAAATTGTTATGGTCCATTGAAAGAGTTGGTGAAGAAGCTTAACTCTTCACCTGAAGTGCCTCCAGTTAGTTGCATAATTGCTGATGGGACTATGGGTTTTGCTGGGAGAGTTGCAAGGGATTTAGGCATTCCTGAGGTTCAGCTTTGGACAGCCTCAGCTTGTGGCTTTGTGGGGTATTTGCAATATGATGAACTTGTCAAGAGAGCCATTCTTCCATTCAAAGGTACCCTTTGTCCTTCTCCTCTTTTCTAATTTGTGGACCTACTCAATTCATGTGATGCTAGAAAATCATTTCAGTGTTGTCGTCCTATATATGCCTTATATTTAAATCATTACACTTGGTACAAGTTTGGATTTTTTTTGAAAAAAGAAATATAGTTTTTAAAAAATTATCATAAGATTGTAAAAAATAAATGATTCTATTTTTTAAAAATCAATTAGATTAAGTTTTTTTCTTTTTTAAAAATAATTTTAGACTAAATTAAACATATTATTGATAAGTTCGAATTTTCTTTTTAATATTATATATATATATATATATATATATATATATATATATATAGTGAGGCCAAATTTTGTTCAAAAATACTTATATTTAATCTGAGTCTTTTATTTAATTTATATTTAGTGGATTATAATTTATTACTTCATTGACCATTAGATGTAAGTAAAATTAAAAGCTAAAATTAAATATAAAATTTTTTAGACTTACACTAATGTGAGAAGATCATTATCTATATATATTTGCAATAAGATTTGAGATAGCAACAAATGACATTTTCCTTTTATTTTTTTAGGATAAGTTTTTAGTGTTTTAAAAAATAGATAATAGAATATATTTGGAAGAGTTTTGTTTTTAACTGTTTTTAATCAATAGAACATGTCATTGTGTTGAAAAACAAACCACCTCAGTTTTATGATTTCATAAGTAATAAGAAATATGGGGAACACTATCTCACTAATTACAGTTTTGTGATAAATTCAATGTTTAGATATGAATACAAACGAAGAGAAGTGAGCCATATCTTTCTTTTTGGTAGAGTTTTATGTTTTAATATCGTAGGTTAGGAATGTGGGGCTGGGAAGAGGAAGAACGTTTTCCTTAGCAAAGTTGATTTTTCTTTCTTTTCATTTTTTAATTTGGAAGTCTGAGCTAACTTTTAGATTATATAAAACGATCAATTTGAGTTAGTCAGTCAAACTGAAGTTACCTTATATAGACCGTTCAAACTCCAACTCTTCCTGAGTTCTATAATTGCTTCTAACCATTATATTAAGTTTAAAGCGTCTACTTCAGTTAATTATGAAATAAACTAAAAAACAACATAAAACATTTCAATGAATACATGAGTCTCAAATAAATAAAACTTAAAGTAAGATAAAATAATTAAGTTTAAAATAAATTAAATAATATTATACATTAACTAAAATTAATATTTAATAAGTTCTTATTAAAAATTTATATAAAAATTTTAAAAAATAAATTTATAAAAAAAAATCTTCTCATACTAGTGTAAAGTATAAAAAGCTTTATACTTCGATATTTTATATAAAAAGCTTTATTAAAACAAATTTATAAAACTCATAGATTGTTTTATAAATACTAGATAAATTCTTTAAATTATTCTATTATACGGGGGGCAATGTATTAGATCTGCAAAAGTCAAAGAATCAATAATATTAAAAATATAAAATATTTATTTTACAAAAGAAACTATTTTGAATTATTATCTAAAAGAAGGCAACACTTTTATTCATAAATTAAAAAAAATACAGTAGAGTTTTGGATCTAGGAAGGAACCTCTATGAACAAAACAAGTCTTCTTTGAACATTGGAAGATAGCAAGAACCAACAAAATAGAGTGGAATGTGACCCATATCGGGTGAGGCCCACATGTATGATTGATGATGCACCCCATGTGGCTTGCACAGGCTCCATACCCTCACGTTTCTCCTTTGATTAGTCTATGCTAGATACTTAATAAAACTGTCCTCTTCAATGATTGATTCTTGTTTAGATACTGATTACTGACTTATTGATTTACTTCCAACATTGGTTAAATTTTTATGCATTTAAGTAGAAAAGAGTTTCATGATTATAACATTATAACCAATGATTATGGATCTAATTGGGTGTCAATTTCAATGGAGTTGTCTGAAATAGAAAAAGAATTATCATCTCAAAAAAATATACTCGGAATTTTGACTACATTCTGATGTCACGAACAGGGAGTTGATTGATTGATAATGCGCATATCAAAGCTTATCATTTAATAGAAAATAAAAAATGATTTTCCTTTTAGAGGGTATTTCTCTTATCATTTATGGTTTATTTAAATTAGAAAAATAAAAAGTATAGATGATGGTGTAATTTTTATTTAATTAAAGAAAAACTTAAAGAGAGAAAAGTTATTGGTTAGATTAATTGGTTAGAAAAAAAAACCCTTTTTTCTGAATCAGCTGTAAAATTTTAAAATCATTTCAACAAAAAATTTAAGTTTAGAGCCTAACTTATTTTATCATAAATTCGAACTTTTTTTTATACTAACTTAATATTTTATTATAAAAAATCATTAAAAAAGTTGAACAAAATACTTTAAAATAATACCTATTAGCATGGAAAATTTAAACGTGCTAACAACATTTAACGTTAAAGATATTACTTAGTAAAAATATGATTTAGAGATTTAAAGATAACCACCATTAAAAGTTAGAAAAAAATAAGTTACTAAAATTATATGTAAAATAACGTCATTAATACTTAGCAGATGTATAACAAAGTTAATTATTAAGGATTTACGTAAAATTTTTAAAATTATAAGAAATTGTTAAAAGTTTTTAAATTATGAAGACCAAATTCAAAATTTAAAGAAATTATAAGAACTAATATACTGATTAAATCAAAAGTATTCTGAAAATTATTTATTTTATTTTTCTTTAATTTAAGTTTTAAATTTTACTGTCTGTTCCCTTTTTTTACTGAAATAAATAGAGGGTTAGTGACGATTATTGCATTTCAATTAAATAAAATATTATACATGGTTATTGCATTTCAATTAAATTCACATGTTCATTTACATTGGTTGTCAAAATTATAAATTGATAAAGTTGCATTATAAGTGAAATTTTTATTATTATCTTGTAAAACAATTTCTAATCATGAGTTTTCTCCTCAAAGTTGTTTATGCTTATCTAATGAAAAAGACACCAAATGTTTATGTTTTTTGAACATGAATTTTCAGATGAAAATTTTATGACCGACGGCACCTTGGATAAGAGTTTAAATTGGGTCTCTGGAATGAAAGATATACGACTGAAAGACCTTCCAAGTTTTATAAGAGTAACATCTTTGGATGATATCATGTTTGATTTCTTGGGTTCTGAGGCAAGAAACTGTTTGAAATCTTCTTCAATTATCATTAACACATTTCAAGAATTGGACTATGAAGCCCTTGATGCCCTGAGGGCCAAGAACCCAAATGTGTATACCATTGGTCCACTTCACTTGCTTGGAAGGCATTTTCCTGAGAAGGAAGAGGGCTTCAAGTCAAGTGGGTCAAGTTTATGGAAAAGTGACACAAAATGCTTAGCATGGCTAGACAAATGGGAACCTAACTCAGTCATATATGTGAATTATGGAAGCATAACTACAATGTCAGAGCAGCACTTGAAAGAATTTGCATGGGGTCTAGCAAATAGCAAGATACCCTTTCTATGGATTATGAGGCCAGATGTAGTGATGGGTGAATCTATAACTTTGCCACAAGAGTTCTTTGATGAGATTAAGGATAGGGGATACATAACAAGTTGGTGTGTGCAAGAGCAAGTGCTTGCTCATCCTTCAATTGGGCTCTTTCTAACCCATTGTGGTTGGAATTCTACACTTGAAGGTATCTCTGCGGGTGTGCCTATGATTTGTTGGCCCTTCTTTGCTGAGCAACAAACAAATTGCAGGTATGTGTGCACAACTTGGGGAATAGGAATGGAGATTAAACATGATGTGAAGAGGGAAGAGATAACAATGCTTGTAAAGGAAATGGTACAAGGAGAAAAGGGAAAAGAAATGAGACAAAAGTGTTTGGCTTGGAAGAAGAAAGCTAAAATTGCTACTGATGTTGGAGGGTCATCTTACAACAATTTCTACAAGCTAGTAAAGGAGGTGTTTCATCACAATGCTATTTGAGTTCTTTCTTTCTTATGATTAAGAAAAGTAAGGCCGTAAGATGAAATTTAGATGAAGTAGTAATTGACTCAGCCCAATTACTATTAGTTAAAGTGTTTCCTTTATATTTGTTGTGTCATATGTACGAAGTCTTTCCTTTCCATTTTTTATTTTATCTCTGTTTGAAATCATAATCTTTATCTATAATGATAAATACATCATTAGTTTTATTGAATTAAGGCACATCATTATTTTTATATGACTAACTTTTTTTTTAAAATTTATAATATAGATTCAATGACTTCTCCATCCTTTAATTTAAGGTTTATTTTTGTGACAATTTTAATTAATTAACCATTTTTCTCTTAATTTTAAAAATAAATTTTAATATTTTTTTTGAAATAAGTAAAGTCTATAAATAAATTAGAAAAATTTATAATTACGTAAATCTTAAAATGATAAAAATTAACAAATTTTTAAAATTTTATATATAAGTTTTAACAAGAAAAATCACATTAATTTCATTCATAATTGAGATAAAAATTTATCTTTACAATTTAGACTTCAAATAAAGTAAAAATTAAAATTAAAGTTTCCAAGTAAAGTCGAATTTAGATTTACAAGTAGAATAATTAACCTACTAATTATTACAAATACATTTCGATTCATTATTTACAATAAAAATTTATTAACACCTTATAAATTCTAAAGTCAACATTAAAATATTTATATATCTATATCAATTTTAATTAGGACTTAATAAAAGTTTTTACAATCTCAACATAATTTAAGTCCTAACAGAGCAAATCTTTTCTTACAATATAACTGAGAATATGATCCTATAACAGATCAATCTTCATCGAAGACACTATTTTTATTTATTTTATTTGTTCTTCATTTTTATTTTCTGAAAATAATTATAAGGATGAGTATTATTACCCATAAAATCCTTATTTTATAAAATATTCAAATAATATAGAAAATATTAATCTAATACAATATACACCAAAATAAGAACAACTCATTTATAAAATTTCATCCAAAAGTCACCAAGACACAAAATTTTACATTCAACCAAATTCAATTGTAAAATTCCTAAATTCATGCCACTTTGATTGTTTCAATACTAATAAAGGGCTACTATGACCCCAAATCGCTGCGAACATGCCTTTCCTAGTCATGAAGGGCTTACGCGGCATGGATAGTTTCAAGATAGCCACCACACACCAATACAATGTGTGCATTATACAATCTCTTAGTAAAGGTAGAGTCAAGAGTCTAGTTAGGAAATGAGTGTGAAGCCTGTGATGCTTTCGTTTTCATTAATATATGTGCACCCACTACGAACAACGTTCACCACTCTCATTTCCTCTAGATTACCAAATCGTCTCCGAACTCTATACCCCTCAGTATATCTCTGTAATTATTTATACGGAAACTTAATAGTGATCATTTGCATTGAGTTCTTTTGTTCTACACTTATTCGTCACTCACTCGTGACACACATTTTCTCAACGATTCTCTCCATTTTGGTAATATAAGCAACTTTATATCCTCATTCACAACCATTCACACCAATAATCTTTCTATAATTTTTCTCTCACATGCAATCAATTTCACATCATAAAAATTAATACAATATGTTGAACGTCAGACAACTTTGGACTCAATCCAATTATACAATTTAAAACTACATTGAAATTAAATCACATACCACCAATACATTGTCGGAGATCACACTCTCTCGGTCTTAATAAAAATTACTGATACCAAAGTTTAGTCTTTTCTAGTATACATATTCAAACATAATAATTCACAACATTAACTGTACATACATAATAATAAATAGCAAAATTATAAAAAACTTCTTAACGTTTGTTTTGCTAATAAATTTTACTATAAAATTCTGTTTAGGTAATTCTGAAAATAAATCATTGGTTTTTCAAGTCAAACACATAAATAGGACTTAAGGTTTGGGATTAACTTTCCTTAGTTACAAATAAGCCTTTCACAACAAAGTGATGAGAGATGATGTCTCTAAGACCAGGTTCTTCTTGAGATTCAAAGGAAAGGTGCAATGTTTTGATGGAAGATGTTGTCCGAAAGACTAGGATCTCCTTAAACATTACAAAGTGAAGTAACTTTAAGAAGAAAGAAAATGATGGAACAGAGGTGAGATTAGGAGATCAAGCTCTAAGAACTTACTTGAGATTGAGTGAAAAAAGATATCCAAGCTCGGATTCGAGAAATATTTGGAGAGTAATAGTGTTTTTCTAGCTACAGAGGGAGTGAGAGAATAAAGAATGATATGAGAAAATGTTATTGGTGTAACATTCTTAATTTCTTATTTTAAAATAAATAAATTTTATAGCAAAAGAGAAACGTAGAAGAATTTTCTATTTTATAGAATTTAGAATTGAATAAAAACAAAACTTACATTCCTCTTATGAAAATTTTATAAGATTCTAAAGTATTTAAAACTTTCAAAAGAATAAATTCAAGACTTTAAAGTAATAAATAAAACTTAAATTTACATCTAGCACATTATCCGGTTCACATGGTATACATATAAGTTCATAATATCTTTAAGAACATCTCCAAAAGTATTTATTGCAACAAAATTTACCAAAACATTATAAATTCTAAAATTTGATATTAAAGAAATATTTACATAACTTAGTCAACATGAAATGTAATTAGGATATAATATTATAATTTCTTAAACTATTCTAGTTCCTACAGAGCAACCTTCCTTCCAATACCACTGGATTATGATCTTAGAACGGACCAACCATCTTTCACTTTTATTACCTGAAAATATTAATAAAGTTAAGTATCTTCCGCCTACTAAATCTCTTTGCTCAACATAAAATTTATATAATACAGAAAATATTGGCTAATACATTTCTAACACACATCAATTAACAATAACACTCAAAATACACAAATCATCATCAAAGCAGAGCACACATCAAACAAATCAATCATTTTTGTAATTATTTATGACATACATTTTCTACACTAATATGTATGTCATAATACATGTATTCTATCACATCAATTAATATGTCCTAATATGTGTGTCCTAATCACACCCGTCGATGTATTACAATACATATATCGTAACAACATTAATCGACATGTTACAATGCATATATTATAACTATACAATATCTATACTACTTCATGTTAATCACAATTTCACATTCATTACACTTTTATATTCATTGCCCCTGGGATCCCGTGAGGACTTCATAGTATAAATAGCTACTAGTTAGCCACAGTAACACAGATACACACGTGTGCCGACTCGGCCCCTTTTAGTAAAGGTGTAGTCAGAAGTTTAGTCAGGAAATGAGTGAGGCCTATGGTATCTTTTCTCTCTATTTTCATTAATTTTTGCACAATCATAGAAAGACATCCACTACCCTCATTTCTCCTAAATTTCTCAATCGTCCCCGTCTTCCACACCCCTAGTGTATCTCTGTGACTATCTATACTTATTCCATTTCTCTTCCTCAACATTTCTCATTTCATTCTTATTCTCATTCTTCTTTATACCCTTCTCATAGATCAACATGTCATAATATATGAGTCTTGATTACACAACTTAATGTATTTCAATACATTATTATGAGTATACCTTTCGATGTACCACAACACTTGTATCCTAATAACAACCATCAATCTATCTGACTCACGTATTACAATCACATCTATAACGCCCTAAGTTTTGTAATCTATTTGATTATTAATATAAATAAGTGGATTTCTATTTGATTGTGTGTTTGGTTTGTATGAGGATGAATGTGCAATTGATGTATATAATGATGCGAATATATGTGTGATGGCATACGCACGTATGTGTATACATATATGAATGTGTATATATATTGGTTGTGTATTGAGAGATTGGATGTGTTTGGATCGATTGAAAATATAGGCAAAGTGTGTGCTGCAAGGGCTTTCTCGCTTGGGCGAGAGGACTACATTTGTTGCATTCTCGCTGTAGCGAGAGGCTTTTTGCTGTAGCAAGAGGGCAACAAAGAATGAGTGTTTTTCTGGGTGTAGTCTTACTGTAGCAAGATTCTGCAGAAATCATAGTACAATTTCCTCTAATTAAGAACCTTATTAGTCTATTTATTGGTTTTGATTAGGTTAAACTAAATGGCCAAAATTCAGGCTTTAATTATAACTATAAGCCCAAATACAATTATCTAATAACAAAGGGTCCAAATGCAATCTTGTTACGCAGAAATTGAAAGGGATACTAACTAGCAAGTGCACTAGGTAGTTATAGCAAGTAATAAAATTTGGAATTCAAAATGAGAGCAAAATAATTACCACTTCACAATTTAACAATTAGTTGAGCAAAACAATTCATTTGAAATGTTTGTAACATGTAAAAGTAAGAAATAAGAGCAATAAAAGGTAATGAACTTGCTGTAAAAATAGAGTACGAATTTTGTATTAAGAATGCTATATGAAAAATAGTTAGGAATCACTTCACCAAATTTTCAATTGCAATGTAATCATGTTCTGAACTCTTGAGAATTTTGATTGATTGATAATCAATTTCACTTCTTTAACCAAAGGATAATTCCTTGCCTCATTGATCCTAATACCTAATTAAACCTCCCTAATCCCTTAGGTGAAATTTAATCAATTACTGCATTAAATTTTAGAAATTATAGGATTACTAGATCATGATACTTATTCCTAAGATCTCAATAACCTAGGCATATGATTCATATCTGAGAAATAAACTCAATTTTCATTGATGAAGATTCCTCTAAATTCAATTGAATGAAGGATTAGTTCACAACTGCATTAAGAACAGAATCATATACTCAATTCAATTAAAATCTCAAGATCCAATCCACAATTACATCACAACATCAAATTTGGATCCATAGATCCCTAACCAAAAAGGTTTAGAACAACATTACAATGGAAGAAGGAGAAGTAAGAGAAGAAGAAGACAAGAAGCAAAATAACATCTTCCAAGACCCAATCTTCACACTGATTCCTCTAGCAATAAACCTTGAAAGTCGTTCCAATCTCTCTCTCTGACTTCCTTTGGAAGTTAAAACAGTTACAAAGTGAAAAATAACAAAAATAAATCAAAGTCCCATTTTCTGAACCTCTAACTTCTTTATAATGTTTTTCCCACCTTTTTCCTTTCCACACATTAATCTCTAAGAATTCTAGCATCAAAGGTCTTCTAGAAGC